TGTTTTCAATAATAAAAAAGCAGAATTGAAATATTTTATTTTTTAAAATTATTATTTCAAAGTGAATAAGACATATATCCTTGCTTTTTATGAAAACTGTATAATTTATTGCGAAATCACGTGATAAAATGGCGTAGCCAAATCAAATGTTACGTCATATTATTCTAAGTTACTATCTTAAATATTTATTTTCTTCACTTCGTAAATTTAAAAAATATATCGGTGTTATGTTCATTGTTTCTCTGAATTTGCCAACTTCCGATATGTGGAATTAATGCGTTAATCCAGGTTGATCTTTTAACAGAAAATTATTATTCCTTTACGTCACATTCTTCCTATCATATCAAAAACAAGATTTTTAAAGGATGTCATTCTACTTGAAAAAGTTTGTAATTTTTAAATGAAAAAAGTGTTTTTTGACAAATGCTGTAATAATATTAAACGATTTACTTAGGACTATATATATGTTATTTGTTGATGATATTATCGTAATTTTCGATTATTATTGGAAATGATAAATGATGATATTACAGTACTAAAAAATCACTGAACTACGCCTACAGCAGAATGTCTTATCCAAATTTTTGAATGTTTAGAAGGTACTTTATATTCATACTTACTAGTAAATCCAGAATTTCTGTTGAAATTTTACGAAAGAACATTTAGAATTTTGAAAAAAATATTCTTTCCCTATCATATAATCTTATCCCAAATAATTTGATTTATAAAATATTACCAGAAATATTACCAGAATAATTATGATTGTCCGGAGACTAGGCACTATGAAAAATGATCGACCACTCAAATTTATTTTGATGACGATCACCGTCGTAAGTTCTCAATGATAAAGATTGTATCTTTATTAAAAACACATCCAAATACAACAAAAAATTTACGAAAATACCGACTTTAATAAAATACAACTCATTACTTTTATAAATTTTAAAATTAGTTAACTGTCCAGCAGAAGTTAATATGTTAATTTAAGTTTTTAGAAAATAATGGAAAGAGTATGAACGTAATAATTCATTAAATCCAACTTAAAATCACTATATACTAAATTTCCAAGAAATGGAACAGAAATACTAGAAGCAATCTTTGAGAATTGCCACAATTAGTTCTTTAATGAGTATTCCAAAAGATCTTTAGTCATATAACCCTAAACAACAGATTGTTAATGGCGAAGTAAATTAGTAGGAAACAGCACTATATAAATAAAATAGTACTTCATATATTTTAATAATAGCACTTTCAGTAGCTTTCTTAATTTAGTCAGATAATTTGTCATTACTGAGTTGATGTAAAGTGGAATGGCGGTCTGAAAGGCGGAATCATTTTGTCAGATGATTGATCTTTCATTTGTATCATCAATTCGATATCGGCTTTCTTAATTTGTAATTCATAATTACACCTCGATTCTCGACTATGGAGTTCAGCGTTCAGCTTATGAGATTCATATTTGAGCTTCATTCTATGTTTACTTGTTATATTGCCCATCTTGAAATCTGCAAAAATAAATGCACCCAACAATAGGTCAGTTTAATTCTAATTGTTCGGGTTTTTTGATCGTAAAATCCGCTAACATCATCCAACAATCAAAACCGATCAAAAATCCGATCAATCAGAATTGAACAGACCCTAACGGGTGCGAAGAACAATAAGTATTACAATTTCACATGTTTATCCAATTAATATTCATCAAATCTAGCTAGACAAGAACAAAAAATTTTTGATTACTGCATGTAACTAAATGACCAAATAGCATGCTTGACGGGTTATCCCCGAAATTTACGTGAAAAATTCTCTGCTGATAAATTCCTGAGATCATTTTTACTCTGCGCCGTGATCATTATAGTGGTATGTATTGCCAGTATATTGACATGTGGAGCCAATATATATATAACAAGATCCGAATACGGATTTTTTTTTGCTCATTAGATCAAAATTAACAGTCCAACATCTTTTCAGTTTCTCGTGTTAATTTATCATTATTGATATATTAATTGCATAACGAATATTTGTAGTATAAGCTTTTTCATTAAGATCGTACCCTTGTCGGACCATTTTCTGAATACCATTTTCCTGAATATACCTTTTCCCGAATCCAATTTTCTGAATGCCTATTTCCAGAAATTGATCATTTCCTGAAACTCCATTTTACCGGATGCCAATTTCCCGAATCTTAATTTCTGGAATTATATGAAACATCCAATTTCCCGAATTCTTTTATCCTGAATTATTTTATCCCAAATTCCAATATCATGAACCCTGATATTCTGAATGGATATTTTACTGAATTTAATATTATTTTGTATAATTTTACATCATAAATTAGAATTATTAATTTCATAAACTCAACCTTTATTTTATTTATTATACTAATCAATAAATTATATATAATGCATATAATATAATATGTAATAAACAACTTGTATTAAAACAAATACTTAAAATAAATAATGCAAAATCAATCAAAGTATCTGTTTGAAATTTGTACCTGTACCAAATCTTTTTCTCCTAAAATGCAAATTAATTATATTTACTTGATGTTTAGGAAAATATTATCAAGCACTTAAACTCAGTGGGTCAGAGAAAAATTTTGTTAGCTAAAAATGTAATATTTCCTAATTGATTGTATATTGCCTTATGTTTACTTCTTATTTACTTCAATTGATCGTAATACTTGTACAGGTAAGGGATGCTTGAAAAAGCCACTCCCCAAATTACATATAACATGTTGGCGTTTATACAATTATAGCAGAGATGCGCAAAGAGCAACATCAAACTCATTTGCTAGCAGAAAGTATTCTTCGTGGAGAACCTTTACCATACAAACGCAAGCATCTAATAGATTGTGAAAATCGAATTTTAACAGTTAATAATCAGTACTTTAAAAAATTTTTACAATTGTTAACATTATATCTGCTTATAAATACTGTGTATTTGAACAATAAAACTTATAGTTATCAATAGTTCTTTATTTTTTAAATTTAGTATATAGTTTATTTATAAATCATACGAAAATATACAGTTTATTATATAATTCAAGAAATTGTACATTCGGAATATTAGAATTCGGAATATTAAGATTAAGGATATTTGAATTCGGGATATTGGGATTCAGGATATTGGGATTTAGGATTCGGGAAATTAGACTTCAGGAAATGGGATTCGGGAAATAAGGATTCGGGAAATTGTATATTTCAGGAAAATGTTCAGTTCAAAAAATTGGCATTCAGGCAAATGACTTCGGGAAAAGATATATTCAGGAAAAGGCATTCGGGAAATCGTACTGTAACCCATATGATTCGTGACAAATAGAAACCAAGTGACAAATAATTCATGAGATTTAAATAGATGGCCATCTGGGGGATGATAGCATGTAATAAAGTATAATTTATATATTTTAAATCTAGATTTATTTACCAATCAAAAATGAAATCCAAATATATTAAATTTAAGAAAATTATTTCCTACTACCATATGAACTAAGAATTCTCATCTAATTAGAAAAACAGGAATGAGAACCATAGAGTATATTTCAAACAACTATTCTTTATAGTTTAGTACTAAATGATAATTTCTTTCATGACTAACTTCATAAATCATTTACTAATTCTTGGACCGATAGATAACATGATATATAAATATTATCAAACGTCAAAATTTCTTTGAAGCAATTCTTGTCAGAAGTTAAACAATTTGAAAAATTCAGATTGGGTCACGACAGATAAATAACTGTAAATCATAGTGATTATAATACGTCAAATATAAATTCCAGTTCTTTAATCTTAAACATATCATGTATTAAAAAAAATATATTTTTATAACTTCAGTTTGCAAATCGTATAGGATTTAGTGATTGTTTCCGGAATAAAAAAAAATTTCGTCCCCGTCAAGAATTTTGAGCATCCGGATCCAATCCGTCATTTGCAAGTGATTCGCATACAAAATTCCAGTATGTACAATTAACATCATAACATTTCTGCCAGAATTACGGTTAATTTTGGCAGAAATGATTAGCTTAGAATTTATGAAGACTTAACGGAACATCCGAATAACCCGAATAACCCGCCTTCAATATCTTCCTAAGGGATCCGTACAAAATACCGAAACTCGAAATTCTATATCCGGATATCTAATTATACCGGATATCCGCTAATATAATCAGAAATCGTTATGAACTTACATCCTTAAAAATTGGCCAATAATTTTAGGTCAGCTGATGTAAATCACGTTTACGAGTACTTGTACCATTTCTTGTTTTCTTATCATTATATAAAAGTTAAGCGATTCCAACGGTATATTTTAAATTTTTTCAAAAAATTCTCTCCAATTTCCATCAATAATAGACCAGTATATAAAGGAATTTTCTTTTTAAAATGATCCACGATATCACTAAAAATAAATTATATATAATTAACAAATGACGCACAAATTATGATCTCATGATTAACAAAAATATTCTATGCATCTACTGCATATTCTTTTTTTTTCATAATAAAAGATTTCTTATACACAAGATTTTTGTAAATCTCGTTAATCACTTAATCCTTGTTTGATGCTTGACAATGCGGAGGTAATTCTAACCATGTTAATCTTCACACGTACCATGTATTAGAGAGAAGACTTTAACATTTGAGAATGACATATATATTACCCTCATGGATTAAATTAACCCTTTGTCGATCAAAAGATTTTTCTTTATATCATTAAAAACAGGTTTATTCCGTATTAAGCATATTCAAATCATTTGGATAACTAAAAATAATTAAATAAAATAAATTAATCCCCTTAAAATCGTATGTATGTTACGTATACAAACTCCGCATGTATTATTATAAAATTGTTAAAAATTGGTCACACAAATAAGGAGTTGATTTACAAAAAAAAAAAAATATAAATAGCCCTATGAAATTTTTAAAAATAAATATATTAAAAAAAAGTATTGTTAGTATTATTCAATTTCTTTTATATGATTATTAATTTTTTTTTAGCGAAGAATTTTTAATATTTTGTTTTGTCTTTATAAATTTAGTAAGAAACGACTAAAAAAAAAATAAATTAGAAATTAAAAAAAAGTATAAAAAAAATCCGAATTCAGGATTTCATTAATTTAACGAATATTATATACACGACACGTGATTCAAATACTTTAATTTTCTTTGAAAGACTTTTGACTACACAAAGAACGCTTTATAAGATATAAACATTTTTATTCAAGATGTCTGTCATAAGCGGAGGCTCAGATTACGATCGACTTCCTTTTGGTAGTAGTCCGTCATCAGTGGTATCATATCCCATAAATCAGGATTATCCAGGAGGAGCTCAATCGGTCATGTCTTCTGCAGTTACAGCTGCAAATTCTATATTACCACCTGAACAAGCGAACATTAATTTTAAACCTACTACAACAGCAGTAACAAAAATATCTAAATTAAAATTACACGTTTTATTGGATTCAACAATTTATACAGCTGGTGGTATTTTAACTGGAAGATTGGCATTGACAAGTTCTACTGCACGCTCAATAAAACTTGGTGAAATTTCTGTAGAATTAACCGCTTTTGAAGAATTATCTGTTAAAGAATATACTGCTTCACAATCTTTTTTGTCTTCTAGATTAGTTTTTCAAAGTGAAAATTTACCACCTTCTAATGCTGTACATGGTCCAAAAGATAATGGTTATTGGACGGCCAAAAAAGGGAAAACAACTTTTCCTTTTGCTTTTAAAATACCTGTTGATGCACCAAGTTCTGTTACATATGCAAGTTTGGCATCTCTAAAATATGTTGTAACTGGGTAAGCAATTTATCGTAATGTTTTATTTTATTTTTAATTAATCGTCTATTTTTATAAAATTAAAATAATTTAAATTAATTAATTACAACAGGGTTGTTCAATTCTTCAACAATAATAAAGCAGATACGCTTTTTAAATCAAAAGAAGCTCTTATCGTTGAAGCTTGGGATGGTCAAAACCCAATTTACAAACAACCCGTAAATGAGACTAATATGAAACAGTTATGGATGGGTGGATCAGGTGCTGTTACCTTAGAAGGAACATTATCAGAAACATTATTTCAAAGTGGTGGAAATGTAAGTGTTCAAGTGAGAGTGAAAAATGAAACTAAGAGAAGGGTAATGTATGATTTTCCTGTTTTTCTTAATTTTAATATTTGTAAAATTTTGTTTAACTAAATTTTCAATTAATTTTAGGTTCAAGGAATAAAAGTAGCCATTACACACAAACTTTTAATTTTAGCTAATAAACATAAGAAAGAAATTGATGATGTTAAAGTCGTTGGAGATACAATTACCGAAGAATGGTTTAAAAATAAAGACTTTTTATTTGATTGTGGAGAGGATCGTTCAACTACTATTCATATGAATGTCCCCGTAAGTGAAATAATTGATTTTTTTTTTTTGAAGTCGTTTAAAAAAAAATTATAATTAATAATGTTTGATTTTCTTGATTATTTTTTACTCAGAGAAATGCAAGAACGATAAGAAATACTGCACTATTTGAAGTTGTGTGTTTTATTGTCGTATCATTATATTTGGGACCATTCACGTATGTAATTATACAAATTAATTGTGAAAAAAAAAACGTAATTATTAAATTTATTTATTATATTTTATAGGAAGGATCTCACTGTTCATCTTCCCGTATATATTGCACATTCCGCGTCTTTACAACCGGCTCCTATAGCTGATGCAGACTTGAACGTATTTCCAAATCATTATAATATGATGGATGAAAATGCAGAATTTTTTGTTGAAGATACGAGACAAGATGATGATGATGTTTTAGGTTTAGTTTCAACGCCAGTAAATATTCCAAAAAAGGGTGGTAGAGTACTTCCTTGGTCAAATGAAGAAGATGATAGTCGTGGACATTATTCTCCTGCAAAAGGTTCTGCTGGATCATATATATTTGGTTCTGCAAGTCCAAAGAAACTTGGATCTTTTGCATCATCTTTGCTTGGAAGGCCCAAACAAATGTCACCACCGAATCCATCGAAACTTATCGCAAAATCACCCCCATTAGCTCCTGCATCACCTTATGCATATATTCCAGCTATCGAACGTGTTAGATATCTTTCTTTTTCAACACAAGAACAAGGTGCTATACAAAAACGTCCTTTTGCTGCAACTTCAGGATTGGGAGGTATCGGACAACATAATGGATCACAAGTATCACAAGTATCACCGCCTACTTCGGAATATGAATTTATCAATGCACCATCCGAACCATCAAAAAATATTCAAACATGGCTTGATAAACAACAGAACGATAATCAATCTGAAGGATCAAGTCCAGCTTTATCAGAAGGTAGTGAGCCTGTTGTTACACCTAGTGGAAAATCTCCTTGGGCACATATTAATCAAACACAGGAAATTGCAAATAGTCAAGATCCAACACAAAATTTTGATTTCTCATCAGAATCATTTAAACGAACTGACAATATAGCATCTTCACCTCCTGGTCCTTCGGGGTTAACATTATTAATGAAACAAAAAGCACAAATGCCTAGAATTCAAGATAATATGTTTGAAGATATAGTATCTACAACAAGCAATGATACGTATGGTGCTTACGAAAATGTACCTAAAGGTCGTCCTTTACCAACACCAACACCAACACCAAAACCTAAAGAACCTGAGGTTAATAATGAGAAAAAACCAGACTTTGTTCAAGTTCCTGGGCTTGAACAAGAAAAATCTAAATCCAGTAATACTAATGATGCTGTTAATGGTGGGGGAAATTTATCATCATTATTTAAATGGGGTACTTCTTGGATTGGATACGGAAATGGTGGATCTAATAATCAATCTCAAACTTCTTTTGAATCAAATGAGAAAACTTTATTACAAAATATCGAAGAGAATACGTCAAATGAAAATCCAAAGAATAGACCACGTAGGCAACTTCCACCACCACCAACAACAACTACAACAACAGCAGCAGCTACAAATAACATTACGGATAATGCATCAGTTATTACTACGCAAGATGAAAACCAAGTTCCTAAAACAAGACCACGTCGTAGCCTTCCTGCACCTCCAAGTTCTGTTCCACAGAAGCCAATAACACCTAATAATCCAATAATAGAGGAAGAGGAAAATACTTCTAATTATATTTCAAATTCACCACCTCGTAATGATATCACCAAACCATTAAATGTTGAACAAATAAACAAAATTACGCCCGTAACAACAGAACAGAAATCACCTTTGAAAGTTACATCACCTGAACAATCAAGTCCACCGAAACGTTCATATCTTGCTGGTATACCAATAAATAAGGCATCGATTTTCGCTGCTTTAGGACAAAAACCTTTGGGAATGTCATCAACACCACCTCCTGCTCCGGTAGTATCTCCAAAGAAAGCTTCACCGGTAGTTTTAAGTACTAGCCCACCAAAACAATTTAACGTTAAACGTAAACCAGTTGAACTTAATTCTCTTCTAAAAAATAATCCTGAAATAGAAATGATTAAGAATGAGTTAAAAACATCCGAGAATTCAAATGAAATTGAAAATAGTAACGAAAATATTCAATTACCAACTACTAATAAAGTAACTTCCCCTACTAAATATAAACTTGCTATTCCACCGCCTGTACCACAAAAATCTATTTCAAAATCTACCAAGGCTACATCAGTTACATCCCCTATCCCTATTGACAATAAGAATAATGAAACAAATTCCTCAATCCCTATTGACAATAAGAATAATGAAACAAATTCCTCTATTCCTATTGATAATAAGAATAACGAAACAAATTCCCCTATCCCTATTGATGATAAAAATAACGAAACAAAATTATCACCTCCTAATTCTCCAATTGATCCTAAAAAAGTATTAGCGGCTCCGACAACTTATATAAATACTACAATCGCTAAACCAATTGTAGCATCAAATGAAAAGAACAATTTAGAAGAAAGACTTTTAATCACTAATAATAATAATAAAAAGAAAAGAAATAATGAAAACACGGAAGAAGAAGGTAAATTAACAGCAAAGATTACAGAACCACCAAAATCTGTATTATCACCTAGATTACAAGATTATATTAATAATTATAATAAAGCTACTATGGGAGTAGATAAAAATTAACACAAATGTAAAAAAAATCACATCTGGGGTTGTTGGGAAATAGAGAAATTATTACGGACTCTTTTAAAAAAATATTTTATTTAGTTTATTATTAATGTATTGTTTTTTTTTTTGTATTATAATTTTACCAGATGTACTATAATATCACCTGATTACTGTAATAAAAAAAAATCCTAATATTTTTTTCACTGTAATTAATATATTAAAAAACACAACAAATTTTAAACCTATCATATTGAGTGTACTGTAAATATATTAGTGCGCTTTTAATTATCGATAGATTTGGCTGAGTCAAGAGAGGCTGGAAAGATCGGAAAAACTTTTTAGGTATTCCCTTAAGTTTATCCTATCAATTGCTGTGTTTAGTATAAACAATTCGACGATAATTACCTATTTTATTAACAAGTTTGTAAGCATCGATGGGGAAAAAAGGCAAGGTTGGGTACGTTTTTCTACTATTCGTAGATCAAGAAGCCAATTTTCTTTTTATGTTGTAGTCTTTACGTTTAATAAAATCGAGACGCAATCTTAAAAAAAAATCATAATGTTACACAAAAATTTCGAAAGTTGTACAGTACAAGTTTATTCCGCTTGAAAATCTCCCTCTCCTCTTTACTTTTTTTATGCGAATCATATTCGAAAAGTACCCCTGATTTTTTTAAAAAGAAAGAAAAAAGCTCAAGGAACAATGAGAATAACTATTAACCCAACCAAATATGTAAGAGATATGTCTTGTATTACGGTATTACCATTTGTTGTAAAGAAATATTTTTTTTTCATAGTTGGCGTCAATCTCAAAAAAATTAATGATTGGCTTATTTTTATACCTATTTATGGAACATTTCTCCGTTTAATTCTTTAATAAACATTATAAAAGGATACCCAATATTTTGGATTTAATCATGACAATTTTTTTTTTTTACTTTTTTTAATCCGATAAAAAAAATGAAGCCGTGTTTATTACATGTAGTTCTTGTCATATTATATATCTTATTAACGACGTTACCGATCAATACGAATTCTCTTACGGGTGATTTGGTTGAACCTATTGATAAACCTTTTGTAGAAAATTATGAAAACAAAGAGTTAAATTTCATAACCGTTGGTGATTGGGGTTATGAAGGGACTGAACCAGGTCAAACAGTTACAAATCAATATAAAGTAGCTAAGGCTATGGAAGCATGGGCTCAATATTATCATGATGATTTTGTTTTAAATACCGGTGGTAAATAGATTATTGTTTTTAAATGCGAATTTATGGATTATATGATTTAAAATATATTTTTTATTTGTATATATATTTAGATAATTTTTATATTAGTTATGTTGGAGATCACGAAGGGGTTACAAGTGTAGATGATCCAAAATGGAATAGAATATGGAAAGGTGTATATAAAGGAAGATTAGCTGAAATCCCTTGGTATACTATAGCAGGAAACCATGATTGGTAAGTAATTGAATTAATTTTATTCATTTATTTTTCTTTATGGGATTTAACTCACAAATATAAATGCGTTTAGGTATAATAATATTACGGCTCAAGTTGATTATAGTTTAAATTATGATTCTCGTTTCTTTTTACCATCAACATATTATGTTCGTGAATCATACATTGGTCCAGATAAAACGAAAATTGCATGGATTCATATTGATACAGATATTTTCTATTATAATTCGACAGATCTTGAAGAAACAGAAAAAATACCTTTGAAACAACAATTGAAAAAATTTGGATGGGATAGTTTACAAGCAAAGGAAGATAAATTAAAATGGATAGAAGATAGATTAGTTGAACAACAAAATTCAAAATGGATAATCGTTGTTGGTAAATAAATATATAATTGAAATAATTTCTTTTAATGCAATAATATTTTTAAAAAAATTACATTTATTTTTAGGTCATCATCCTCTTGTTGGTTTGTGTGCAATGCAATATTATATGGTAAGGTTGAGACCGCTTTTCGAAAAATATCGTGTAGCGGCTTATTTCTCAGGACATGCACATACTTTACAATTAGAATTGGCAAAACTTGGTCAACCTGTTACATACTTCTTGTCAGGAGCTGGTAGTAGAATGGAAGAAAGGTGTCCTGGACAAGATTGGGGTGTACCAGATAAAGTATTGGGATTCTTACATACTACTATAAATGATACTGTAATGACCTATGAATATGTTGATTCCACAACTCTTGAACCTAAAGTAGTTTATAAAGGACATGTTTATCCTAGATATTAATTAATTTATTCTAGAGCCTATATATAAATATTATATCTTATTTAATCATAATAAATTATTTTTAACACAAAATTATGAAGATTATGTCTTCGGAGTTAGTAATTGCAAATATCCAACCTATTTTTGGATGCCGATTTTTAATTACTAAAATATTTTTAAATTATGACATAAAATCACTGCGCTTAATGACATTCACGTTTCAAATTACATTCACGTTTCAAATTATTAAAGGGTTCTCAAAGGATAAAAAGAAAGACTCTTGCGTTAAATAACATTTTTGTATGGCATATGTTGCAAATCTTTTTGTTACGCACCTTGTCTGATAGGTCTATTTGTCACACTTACTACTCACTTACTGCATACATAACAAATAATATATGCCAATCGGCATGCGATGTTTAAATTTGGATCATAAGAAAACATGAATGCTGCTTATTTAGGAAGCAATGAGAATATATAAGTAAACTTATCAAAGAAGTGTTCCGGAAAAGGTTTTCCGTCATGCAATAATGACACATTTTTTATCATGAAAATTAGTTAATCTCTAATAAAATTGAATGATTAATGTCTGTCAAAACTGACATATAATTTAAATAATAAACTTTGAGTATATAACCTGTTTAATTCTTTTTCATAAGTATCAGCTGTTCATATTGTTCATATCATGGAACTTTCTTCCGTTTCTTCCGTAAACAAATTTGTCACTCCGTTTTCGTGTAACTGTTATGATGTTAGTTTTTTTTTGTATTTTCATAACTAGCTCGTAAATAGCTATAAAAACAAATAAAAATGTAATAAAAATATTCATGGTACGAACCGCAAGATCATTGGACTATTTTTTATTTTGGGAAAAATATGCAAAAACAATTGTTCTTAATTTAGTTAGTACGACAAATCTATCTTCGCCTAATGAATAAATACAAAGGATAAAACATAATAAAAATGAGTACTTTCCTGTTTTTACTTTTTCCCAAAAAGCAACCTGGGTATTTCTATTATTGTAAATAATTTGAAAGCGAAAATTATGTTGAAAAAATTTTCGACATATTACATATTCATATTATTTCAAAAAATAAATTGTAGAGGAGTATTACCTTCACAAAGATATTTACACACTGTCACATTAATTGATAATAATTTATATATTATAGGAGGTCAATATTTAACTGATACTTCTATTGAAATTATCGGAAAAGAATTCATTTGTCTTGATGTATCTAACCCATTTAATACTTGGGAATTATCGTGGGAAAACTTGACAGATATTAATATGGTTCCACCACATATAGGTGCTGCATCCGCTCAAAGCGTTGCAAATATGTTCTTATATGGAGGAATTTCTACTAATAATGATGAAAAAGATTTAGTTTATATATTTGATACGCGAGGTAATTCAACTAATTCATGGATCACTTTAAACGCAATCGGAAAAACAAATAAAGCATTCTTAACTTCTATTGATAATGATGGAAAAATGTATTTATTTGGTGGGAAAAACAAGCTAAATGATGAAATATTAAATGATATGCTCATATTTGATACCATAACTTTAACTTTCACAAGCGGAAGCTTAGTTAACGCACTTCTATGAGAACTGATTACGGTGCTGTTTTGTTACCAAATAAAAACATTATTTATTTAGGTAATTATGATTTTGGTTAGAAGTAACTTTAAAAATTATTTTATATATTTATATATTCAACAAACTTACTTATTAACAGGTGGCTCCATAATTAATAATGAACCTTTAACGTTAAATGAGGTAAGATTACGTTATTTTTGTTTATCGTGCAAGTTTGTGTAACATTACAATTGATCAAAATAATTCTTAACAGGTATATTTATATGATACAATCCAAGATAATTGGAGTATAAAAGTAAGTTTATGAAGTCTTTTTATATTATAGTTGACTTAGAATTTTTAAAAAAATTAGGTTTCTCAAAGAATTAGTTTATGATACAATGATTTATTAATTTACAGACAACTTCAGGATACATACCTTCTCGAAGATTTGCTTTTTCCGCTGTACTTTGTGAGCATTTTTATATATGATGTTACTAAAGCATTTTTAGTCAATATATTAACGTTAACATTATTATTTATTTGAAGCGCTAGATGGCCAAAAAATAATCATTTTTGGAGGAAAGTGGACGACAAATCTTACAGCACTTTATGAGTTAGATTTAACAAATTTTAATTGGTATATTCCAAAAGTTTCTGGACAAATTCAAGATCCAAGGTATTGGCATAAAGCGAATGTTATTGGAAAATACATGGTTATATCATTTGGTAATAAATATATGATGAAATTTTTTTTTTTTTTGATTTTTACTAATAAAAAAAAAATGTTTTTTAATTATTAATAGGGTGCTGTTATGATCAATCAATTGAAAGTGATATTTTATTACTTGATATTAGTAATGATCAAGAATATGTATGGACAACAAATTTTGAGCCACATTTACCCTCTCCATTACCGACACAAGTACCGACACAAGAAGTAATATCATTACGACCCTTTCCCTCGTCGGCAGTATTAAGTCCTATTATGGGAACATCAATTACTGTTTTCTATTAACAATTATATGTATTTACGCATATAAATGGACTAAATTGATCAGAAATATGCCAACAACAAATCCGTAAACATATCATTATATCATTTTTGATTCACGCACAGAAATTTCACCACTGTACATATTACGCATAACGCATTAGATTACAATTTAAAAGCACAACACACAAACGCATTTTATTTTAAGTCTCTTTATAATTAAAGAGAATCATCATAATTCAATTCATCATTTCTTTTCGTTAATTTAGAACCTATATACACAAGCAGGCTTGATAAACCGGATTCACCCGTTCAATTAGAAGAATCTGATATACCGATATATCGAAATTAATTTATATATTGTGTAATATAAATCTGTTCCGGAATATTAAAGGTTCTTACAATAAAAAAAATAGAATTATACAAATTTTTTTTTTTAAAAAAAAGAACGTAGATTAAATAAGATCCTATGAGTAACACTTTGCGTTAATTTATTATAATTTGTAATAAATTGGGAAAAGAAAATTATAACAGAGAAATCGAACAAATCTCTGATAACTGGTAAGGTCGCACTAATCCGATATTTTAAGTTATTATACTGTACAATAATCTCATCTTCAAATTATATTTAAGCTAAAAATGAATAAATTATTAAACTATCTAAAATCAAATCTATCATCAAGCAAAATTACTAACTTCAAATTCGAATTTTTTTTTGTTCCAATAGACTGCTTATAATATGAACAACTCATATTGGCAATAAAATTGTTGATTATAATCACATGTTATTTTTCTCATCGAACACATGATATCGATTCATTAGTAATACAGTGTAGCTATAAATATATTCGTTCAACAAGTAGATCTTCCGTAAGAGTAGGGTGGGTGTTACATTAACATCGCAAATCAATTAAATGAACGGACACATAACTCCGTAAAAAAAATTTTTCTTTTTAAGATGACTGAATCAAAATTTAGCGTAGCGATATTTTGGCTTTACTGGGTATCCGCTCTTTCTAAATATATTCCAGGCGTAGGGAATTGAGTCGACACCCAAAATCATTGTTCGATTAATTGGTTAAAATTTTTTAGGCAAGATCGACCAAAATCGACTAACAAGCTGTAATCGATTAAAGTTCGATTAAGTACACTAGATCTAATAAAATCGAACAATTAATCGAACAATTAATCGATTAAATGTCATAAATAATTAGTATTTTATTAGTAAATTAAAAATTAATAAAAATAAAAATAATAGATTATATAAATTTTATGCAGTTTTATACTTTCGCATTATTTATTTATAATATATATTAATAATACACACGCCCGTCTGTTTTCTCTACAAAGTAATCCCATTTTATTTGCAGTTTTTGGTATAATTTGTGGTTCTTGTTCATCTGTAATATCACTTGCCAAACGTTTTGATGTGTGTAAAGATTCAGTGGAACTATTTGCACGTTTTGGAGGCATTATTTACGTTAAAAGAGTTTATTAATACTATAAGCAGGGAGGGTAAAAGAAAGAAACTTTCTTGTTACAAAGAAAAATTAGCAAAGTTGCTATTTTAAGATTTTATCATGTTTATTTAACCAATTTATCGTTAAAGCATGGTTAATTATTTTAATCGATTTATTTTATTCGAGTATTATATAATCGATTTTACGTGTTTCGATTATACGTTGATCGATTTTAATTTTTCGAGTACTCGATACACAAAATCATTAGTCGAGTCACTTAACTTGATCGACCATGATCGATTTTGAATTGGTCGACTCAATTCCCTATCCAGGCGTATTCTATTGGGAAAACATAAATGAAGCTATATTGCAAATACCTTTTATACGTTTGCTTAGTAATGCTTATAGTATAAACTTGGGTTTATTCTCCGCACTCATTGACAGAGAATATTGGATTCCAGCAGAAAATGATATGAGAAAACCGCCAAAGCTTTTGAGAAACCATATATATCATAATAAAATTGATACAGATATTTATCGTACTGCTGGACTTCCCAAGAAGAACTGGTTCTTGGTGGGAAAATTAAAAAAAGGAGCTCCGGGACCTCTTGCAGCTTGTTGGGAAATTAATAGGGAGGGAGATATACATTATGAAAACTGGTCATCTTGGAATGATGACCCTTGGCTCGAAAATGGTTTTCAACAGTTTGAACCAATTGGACTATCTGGAACTGTCATAATGACACTAGTATGTATGTCAACCGTCATATTCATAGGTGCATACGAAGGAGTTATGGGTTGGTCAATTCTCCTATCATTATATGCATTTTTCTTTCCTGGTATGAGTGATCTTTTGTGGCATTGTACGATCGGAACTTTGATAGGAGCAGCTCGCGAAGGGAAATTCAATCAATTTCGACTCTGGTGGTATCGTGTACGTTTAGCCCTTAGTGCATTTCTCTGTTTGTTATGCTTTCATGCCCATTTGCATTCTTATTGACATTAATTACTGACAAAGCCACAATTATCGATTGGCTTACCGTTATAAATGCTATCATTATTTGGTTTACTCCTGGATGTTGTGCCATAAGACGCACATGGTTTCTGTTTTCATCATCCTGCATATTTTTCGCATGGCATCATTATTTTGGAAGTGTTCTTGATTTGGTTCAATTAGCATAATTTTGAATAATTAATTAGTATCTATCTTAAACAAGACGTACTTATATTTAATGATCCAAATGAATTGAAAAAATATTTATAATTTAAAATTTTGACAAATCTGATCAAATCACAGATTATGATTATTATAAAACAATTTAAATATTTTATACTACACCTAATCAAATATAAATATATATATATTTGGATAATAATTAGGATGAAAATTCACTCATGAATTTAAGTTAGATGTAACAATCGAATTTTTGAGTTTATTTTCAATAAAAAAAATTTTTTTTATGCCAAAGTTTATTTAACAGCAGAAATTTTCATTAAATTACAGCATATATGTTGTGTCCTAGTCAACATGATGTGCATGCTTTTTGCCTAAAATTTACGGAAAGGTCCATCAGTAATTCATCTAAAAATATTTGCTGAATTATATACAAATCTTGTGTAGATTAAATATGTAAAGGGTTTGCAATGCAAAAAATATAAAAGATTATTCAGACATTCGTGATTATAACTTGATTTTATAAACCAAATGTTGTCAAGAACGTATTGCTTGCATATATTAATCAATAACCTAAAGTATTTTTTATTTTTTTTAATATAATTTTAAATTGCATAGTTGAGATATAAATATCACCAACCATTATGCTGCAGGTTAAAATTTTCTTTTTAAGAATAACACAGCGGAAATTTTTTTAATAGCTAATTTGCAATATATTAACAATGCAATTATTAGTAAATACTGCTTCCTAACCATCAATTGAACAGAGAACCATCAATTGATAGAGTCATTATAATCATGGTTAATCTAAAACACAGGTATTTGTCAGTATACTCTTATATGTGTCCTCCATTAGAAACCTGCAGCTACTTTACATAAAATTTTGTTTAATAAATTTAGTTTTACTATCAAAAATCGCGTCAAAAGGTTAGGATTATCTATACATTATTAGGTTCAGACAATTAAATCTATTTGTAATGCTATTTAGAAAATATCGATAGAAGAAAAATAAACTAGGAAAACGGAAACCGTTAAAGTCCGTCGCGCTTATTTGCTCTGTATCTTTTTTATAAAAAAAAATTGTTTACGAAAAATCACCAGAAAAGTGATACAAAATCAAGAAAGGAAAAGCAGGGGTAATTAGTGAGGTGACGTCAGCGGATGGACAGAAGGAAATTTCATGGGTTAATCCAAAATCGTTAGTGCTCTACAATAGAAAGACTTCTCTATGTTCCGGACAATAAATTTGTTCAAATTGTAGTGCATTTTTTTATTTTTTTTAAATTCCTAAATTTATGCATATAGTCTATAAAATGCATTATGGGAAAAAACTTTTTATTCTCATTTCATTAGTTCGGTTAGTTATATTTCCGAGTTCCAACAACAATTTACAAAAATTATTCAAATAAAAAAATTATGATGAAAAATTTATTTTAAAAAACAAACTATTTGAGACCTTGGAACAAATATTATTTATTAAAATATGTTAGTGTTGAATGCACTGTTGACTCACGGATCACGAATTAACATATTAAACGATAATATGAATGTGTTCTTGTGTGTTGGTTCATTTTTATTAAAGCTAAGAATCTTTTAATCTAACACTTGATACGACTAACCATTCTTTAACTTTACGTTTTTTAAGGGTAGAGTAATCTATTTTTATTATCTACCAGGATTTGGGTCATGACAACTGGCTAAATAATTTACCGAAAGATGAGGTCACGTTATTGATTGGTTAATAGTAATTGTGTGACACTAAAAAAAAACCAGCGCGAATGCTAAAATATATTTATTTTAGTATTTAAAAATTTAAAATTCTGTACTTTAAAGTGATTTATCTATTCTTAGTAAATATAATAAGCGTTATATTTTAAAAAACTTCATAAAAAAGAAAGAAAATGTATACAGTTAGATCATTATACAAAACATACCAAAATATTCTTAATTTATACCTTTATTCTTCACAGACTTTGTCCACGAAATAAAACTTAACAGTTAACATGTAAAATTTTATAAAAAAAAAATTGAAAAAAAAACATATTAAATATTATGTTTAAAATAAGCCTTTAAAATATTTGTTACAACGTCGACTCAAAACTAAACAAAAAACAAGAACCAATAATATTCTTTATTTCTCATTCGCCAAGACATTCGTAAAATTTTTTTAAATAAGAAATCTTTTTTTAAGTTAAAAAAATAAAGTTCAGACTTGTGGTTTTTGTTAAGTATTACGAAAGTTTACGAAAGTTTATATTGTACAGAAAATTGGTATTACGGGTATTTTTCTTGGACATTTACTATATTAGACCATTTAAAAGACTAAGCATCATAATATTTATTTTTTTTAAAATTATATCCCTTAATTTTATTTTATTTTTAGCTTTTTGTAACTCTTATTTAAAGAATTCCGCTTCATTCGGGAGCGCCAAGAGCGAAGATCAGTTCTAAACTCTTTTACGGGAAATGGCTTTTATTTTATTTATGTAAAAATTTTTTACATTTTATGTAATTTATTTTTAAACAATTTTTTTCATTTTATGTGCTTAAATTAGGAAATTATATTACTAAAAAAATTTTCAGAAAAATGATCACGCATCTGAGTTTCTTCGGAGTTCGGAATGAAAACTAGAAAAAAATGATCATTTATCGGAGTTTTTTTCAGAATTTTTCATAGGGTCTTGTATTTAAAATTTCTTTTTTCAAGGTGCGGCTTAACCGTTAATTGCCTAATTTGCATATTCCGATATTATGATTCTCATATATACGGTAATACTACTTGTTCATTTATGAAGATATCCAGGAATTATAAATAGTTGTACTAAACTCAAAAAAAAGTGAAAGGAAAATACAATGAAAATTAGTTAGCTGCGCTATTGCCTCCGTAGCACAGTAATTCAAGATATGAAAACCTGAAACATAAATAATTAGAATGAAGAGGACAACGAATAGAAAGAATAAACCGATGAACTGGCACAATACACGATTACTCGAGTTCTATTACCGATACCTAAATTTGGTAATTCAGATAGAGTATAATCGAAGATATAGCTAATAAGGAGTAATAAATAAATAAATAAATCACTTAATTTGACAATATTTTTTGGTGTTATATTTATGCGTAATCTCTTATAAATAATCGCTAATTTCAATTATTCTTTTAAACTAAGAAATTAATAATCTCACAATGGTCTCTCCTAGTATGTTTAGTCAATTCAGATTAATTATAACGAAATCTCAATAATTAATATTTATTTTTATGTTCTTTTAGACGAACTAGCAGCGCAAGCATCTTGTTATGGATTACCATACGGAATTTTCGGAATTTTTTGTTGGTGTTTCACATTTTTTAGTGCCGCTTTGGTTCATGCAAATTGTCCTATATTAATGCCTTGGAGATGGGGTAAAAAATATCGAGTACAAGGTCGATATATTTTAATCATATCGTCCATTCTCATACTAGGACCAGCCATCAATACATGTTTCAAATGTAAGTCGGATTGGATAATGATACTTGTAGCACTTGGCCAGCTCACACCCTGGAGTTTCAAAATAATGAATGATGGTTGTTGCAAAAGCAGCAGTAAAATAGATTCCGAAGATTTGGAGTCTAAAAAAAGTATTTCCGAAAAAAGGGGGCTTAGTAAATCTTATAGAATTGCAGGTCTCATTTTTACCATCCCCCTTTCACTCGCGGGTTGGGTTGGAATGACAGCACTAAGTATTTCGCTGATGAAAACAGAAAAAGCTGTTAGCATTTGGATATGGTCATTGTACGTGATAGCACTTATTGCAATGATTTTAATGTGTTGCTGCAGCAGCAATACTACCTTTTGCCTTTCAATGGCATACATTTTTTTATCCCTTCACATTATAGGGTCGCATGTAATTTTTGCACTTGTTTCTAATAATTGGAACGGATTTGCTACTACAGGCTCTGGGATGGCATCATCGATCTTTTTTTTTATCGGAAAGCGTCTTTTATTTTTAGATACTAATAGTTAAAATTTCAATAGAACTGTTTATTTTACTACTTTTTTATATCAAATTATTAGCTGTTGGGTTGCTTATTTTATTATTGACTAGGCGCTAAGATGCTGTGCGACTGCGAATAAATGGTATTATAATATTACCTTTTTTAGATGTTGATCAATTTTGTAGAACATAACGAAAATCAAACAAATACTAATTTTACTTACAAATATATATAACTATTTTAAAAAATTTTTTATAAATATATTTAAGAAATTGAATTAACGGTTTTTTATTCAAAAAAAAAAAAAAAATGTAATTATCATTAAATGTGTGCGTTCAATTTTGCTATTAGTAATATTCGTTGTGTCAAATCTGCAAAAATAATCCCCATCTAAATTGTGATTTTTTTTAACTTGAATTTTATCAGAACTTAAAATAAAAAAAGCTAGTTTTCGATTATTCAATTAATATAAAATAATGGTATTAAAGAATCGTCGTTAAAACTTAATTAAAAATGACATAAGAAATTATATAACGAAAAAATAAAACTCTGGATTTTTTACAAATAAATGAATAAATCTATCGTATAAATAATTAAAAATCAAGAAAAAAAAACTACTAATTGATATCATGAAATATTTTAAATATTTGTGGCAAAAATAATGCACTATAATGGTATGATACTAAAAAATATTTTACCGCTAAGTATTTTTCAACATTATAAGAAACTTGATAACCAAATCAAATTTATGACAATATTCAATAAATTGAAAATGTCAATCGTAACGTTTGCGTTATATATTAAAGAGTACCGTAAAAATACTATATAATTTCACCGACAATCATAACTCACGCGATTTATGCAACCGGGAATAATATTCAACATTTTATATTTTCTTTCTCAGGATAATCTTGCTTCTAAACAAGGGGGTATACGATAAAAAAATTCTCTGACAATTAAACCATCCTCTATTCCTCCACGAAAAAAATTTATATACTTAAAAATACATATAATTTAAGTATATTTTAAACTTTTAAGTCTTTTTAAGTCTATTTTTAAAAATATACTGTATAAGTACATTTTAAGTATTTTTTTTCATAGGGGAATTTCAGCCTTGAAATCAGAAATCAAAAAAAGTACATTCTCAAAAAAAGGTTATTGAGTAATAACGATAACGGACATGATTTTTCTATTAATGCCAATAACTAAATAACAAAAGTTTTACAATTTATGAAACATATATATTTTGCTCTCAAGTTTTAACACAGTTTAGTTTTTTTCAATATTTTTTTTTAGAATATAGAGAATATAGGTTATGACAACCATTAGCATTGTATAATATATAAATCTAAAAGCCTTATATACTGTAATTGTATTTGGTTTTTTGTATTTATAAAAATAAATGCTCAGAGAATTTTTAAACCGCAGTGCTAGTTGGTTTAATAGATAGGAGAGTGAATAATCTACATAACCTCTCTGTATTTTTACGCACTCAACATTAAGAATATTTGCATTTCTTATGAGTTAAATCAAATAAATTAGTAAAAATTTCCGATCGAGATTCCTTTGTAGACCACAAGCAACTGTAGATGACCTTGGCTGATTGGAAACGTGATAAACCATAGCAAATGCCCTTGTCTTCTGGTGTGAAAGTTGCAATATATCTAGGATCTTATTTACTAAAATAGTTCGAATAATAATAGTAATTAGATATAGATGAACATATATATGTAATTGGCATATGCGCGAAGATATATTAAGTCTAACCCAATTTCCCAGGTATAATCGTATAGATGCGTCAATTTATAAGTATTTCATAATTCATATAGTCAAATGAGGTGCGTCAAATCGGATGAGTTAGAATCATGTATAATTAGGTCCAAGTGACTAAAATTCCAATAGATTGCTTATTGAGTAATGCATAAATTTTATACTGTTGAGATTGGGCTATAACTTGTAGAAATCGAAAGTAAGTTTTGCACTTCGTAAATTTCGCAAATAGATTTATACGCTGAATTAAATATGTAATTAATAACTCGTTACATATCATTAGTCATTTGTGCTTACATGTTTGATGAAAAGACCCGATATTTAATATCACCGCAGAAAAATGCTAACAAAGTACGTAAATTCATAATAGCAAATGCAACGATTACAACACACATATATTATACACGAGTAAAAAAATAAAGCCCGATACAAATGCTTTATTAATATATGTTATAAAATACATAGAAGAATTATCAGAAAATAATTTTTCACTAATAAAATACCGATAGTGATACAATGAGTAAAAATTGATATAAAAAATAGAATTCAGGAGAAAATAAAATATGAAAAAAAAAATAAAATTGGTAAGAGCACTACTAAAAATTACGTAATAAATATCATTGAAATTAGCAAAATCTTACGTTACACGTTGTAATTTAATTGGCTACATTATAACTTACATGTTATATTAAACTGATAATGTCACTGCCATAAGACGAGATTTGGATCATCTAGAACCTGAACGATTAGAATTATCGGAACCTGAAGGTGTTGTTTTAATTATCTTTTTCTTCACATCATTGACCCCATCTAATTCCGTTTTGAATTTGGGATCAATCATATACTTATCACCTTTGGTCTGATTCTTTTGCGAGCTGTTCGAACTAGTATCCACCTGCATATTCCCGGAACATGTATGAACCGTCCCTTTCCATCCACCGCATGCACTGCAATAACTATAAAATAATAGATGTTCATAATAATAAAATTTTGTAA